AATCCTTTTTATTAGTGGCTGGAAACGACCTCTCTTCTGCAGTAAAATGTCATGCCAGTTCACTCCTTTTATTTGTTCTGCACTGACGAGGCTCAAACTCTCACTGAATTAGTGCAGAGAGATTTATTTCCTCCAAATTTTGAACGGCTTAAGAGAGATTGGGGTGGAGGGGGCGGTCGGGAGGGAGGTGACGTGGGGAGAGAAGAGTGAAGAAGGGGTCTGGGAGGGAGAAGGTGAGCTCTTATGGAGGTCACATGTCCTCAGCTCTTTGGATATAAAGTCTAATGACCATTCCTTACATCCCACTCATCGTCATCGACACTCAGCACTGGAGACCAAGTGTCCACATCCCTGCTTCTAGCCCATGGAGGATGTGGACCCAGAGCGGAAGATATCTGGACAGCGGGAAGAAGCACTCCTGAAAAACCATGTTGTAGTGGGACAAACTGAGGCTCAGGGAAGGCCAAAGTCTCTGCTCTAACTGGGAATCCTTCTCCCCACCCATCCCTGGTTCACACAGGGCCATTTGTATTGCAGGTGGCTTTGATGGCAGCTCTCATGGGCCCTGCCCTCAGGGTGGACCCCCAAGCCTGCAGTCAAGACTGCTGGGAAGAACTTTTTCAAAGTGCCTGCCAGCTTCCTCTCATGCCTTAGGGGGTGATGTTGGAGGGTAGCTTAGAAAATACAGGTCAGCCTTTAGGCAGGTACAGACTGGGCACCTGGGAAAGGGTAAGTGACTCTCCCATAACTGTGCTGGAAACAGCTTGAGAGAAGCCCAGGACCATGCTGCAGCCACAAAACCCATGGAGTCGCTAGGAAACAGCCTATCTCTCAGGGCGCAGTGCAGTGTCTCAGGGATTCACGTGCATAAGGTAGAAGGTAGTGTCTGGGTTTATCAAGTGAGCCAGGTGGATGGAGCATGGGAGCCACAGGCGCCCCACTGACCATGACCATGGATCACAGGAAAAGCTGTGGGTGATCTCAGGTGCCATCTGAGCTCTGAGAGACCAACAGGGCTCTGGGATGAGGTGGGAGGAACCACACGCTGGAGTCAGAGGAGGCTGGGATAGGAGAAGAGAGGATCTGGGGGCTGACAGTACTGCTGTCTGTCCTTCAACCCTGACTGCTCAGTCCTCAGGTTGCAGAGCAGCTGGAGAGAGGGTGCCCGGCCAGTACCTGTGAAGTCTGCCCTGTGCTCCATGGACTCGTAGTTAACTTGGAGGGAAGGATGGGCAGCATGTTCCTTTCTTCTGAGACAGCAGGAGCCACAGAAGCCACCCCCAGATATGCCCCCACATACATACGCGTAGCCATTCTGGGGAGATCCGACACCTGGAAGTGAAGGAGGTTTAGAAGACAGACCCTGGCTGGGGTTCTGCAGAGGAGGTGTATGTTCCCTGGTGGATGTGACAATGCCCCCCCCGATCCCTGCAAGCCCAGCTCTGTCACGAGGTACCTCATGATGTGACTCCTGCTGCCTTTTCAACCTCATCTCCCTCCACTCCCCACCTGCCCACCTGGTTCCAGCCACACTTGGCTACATTTTGTTCCAGAAATGTGCCAGCTCATTTCTGTCTCAAATACTTTGCTTTTTCTCCTGCTGGAATGCCGATCCCTTAGCTCTTTGCATGACTATGTCTCATCATCCGAGGCTTAACTTAAATGTCACCTCCGCAGAGAGGCCCTCCCTGACCACTCTAAGAAAAGCTGCTCCTCCCTGCAGAAGCAAGGACAGAAGCAGAGGAGATCACCCTTCTCTCCCTACCCAAAGCCTAGTGCTAGTAGCTGGGGGACACAGTCGTGGCAGATCTCTCTTCCTTACCCCACATGCCACTCATACTGTGTACACAGAAGACACCATCCCTGTACACATACACACGTATTGCATACAAACAGCACAGAGAACAGGCACACTGTGCTCACAGCACACAAAATCAGCACCCCAGTTACATACACTACCCATCTGTGCATATATACAGCATTAGCACAACACTGTGTGCACACAATGAAAACACACAGGACCCCACACAACACTTGCTCTCATTGACAGGCTGCATACACCCTTGGTGCACACACATGCATATGCACATGCACGCACACACACGCACACACACACTTTGTCCCCTCCCTCCAACCAGTGAGAAAGGAATGTGCGGTGACCGCAGCTGCCATGGGGTTGGGGCGGGGGCTGCACCCCCACCACCTGGCACGATGCTGTGGATTATTAGTTCCTGGTAATTTAGTGCCCTTGTACAGAGTCGATTTGTGCCTTTCATTCCTAATTGATCTAGTGGCTGTTTAAATGGCAGCAGGCATCTGTTGAGAGTAGGGAGGTTCATAAGGCGCAATAATTCATAACACCGTCTGGAATTTGCCTTCATGTCCCTCAGCTAAGCCACTGCAGGCTCTGCTTAAATTACAGCCACTGAGGCTTTCTTTGGTATTCCACTCAGGGCCAGGAGAATCTTGCATTAAACTGGGATCAGGTTAGATTAGACTATAATATGCTGCAGTATTAGTGGCTGCAAATGAAGACTTATACTGGAGTTTAACCCCTTCACCTGGTTTTCTCTTTGTCTTCAGCCGAATGGCTAAGCTAACCCATTGTTTTTCCTACCAGCTTCCTGGTAGATCTTTCTCAATGGATCTTCTGGCAATTTGGGGCAGCGAATAGGCCGCCCTTAAATATTGACACTTTTTTCCTGCAGACTGCACACCCAGTCTGCAGCCCTGGGGCCCAGCAGTTTAGGCTTCAGCTTCCAAAACCAGGGTCGGGGAGACAGTGTGCAGGGACAGGCTCTGCCAAGCTTAGCAGCTCCTCTGGAGCAGAAATTTCTCTTTTCCTCCCTCACCACCCCTGAGTCTGAGTAGAAAGAGCCATAAAATGCATGTGAGTGTGGATGGGGGGACACACTTTCTGTCTTTTTATCCAAAATTGTTAGAATTCCAAGATGGACAGGCTCCTAGGGGTTCCCCCACCCACTTGCAAATACCATATAGGCTAGACATTCAGTCCTTCTCTGTGTGCTCAGTCATGGGGTGCTGGAGGGGCGACCATGGTCTGTGTGCCTTACTTATTGTGTTCTCGGTAGGATGCAGTGGCTCACACCTGTAATCCCAGCACTTTGGGAGGCCAAGGCAGGCAGCTCACTTGAGGTCAGAAGTTTAGACCAGCCTGGCTAAAGTGGTGAAATCCCATCTCTGCTAAAAAAAAAAAAAAAAAAAAAAAAAAATTAGTTGGGCATGATGGTGGGCACCTGTAATCCCAACTATATGGGAGGCTGAGGCAAGAGGATCACTTGAACCCTGGAGGCAGAGGTTGCAGTGAGCCAAGATCATGCCATTGCACTCCGGCCTGGATGACAGAGCAAGACTCTGTCAAAAAAAAAAAAAAAAAAGACTTACTGTTTCAGTATGGTAGCCGCTAGCCACATGTAACCTCTTAAATTTAAAGTAACTAAAATTAAGTAAAATTAAAAGTTCAGAGTCCTAGTTACGGCAGCCATATTTCAAGTATCCATTGGCCTCACGGGATTCGTGGCTGCCATATGGGGCAGTGGGGAGTGCAGAACATTCCCACCATTGCAGAAAGTTCTGTTGCATAGCACTGGCTAGACCACCCCCTTGGGCAGAGGCATGGGGGCCAGGTTCAGGTCCAACATACATTCCTCCTTCTTGCCCAGCAAATGGGGCTACGTCCAAAAAAAATAAAAATACAAAAATTTAAAAAACCTACATTGCATAGTCCCAGGAGTCTGGGGAGACAGACCAGAGAGGGATGTGCAGATGCATTTTTGGAACTGCAGTGGAAGGGAATGGGGCTCTCTGGAGTCCAGTGTCAACAACCCATGCACACATACTGCAGAAATAAAGGTGCTGTGGACTTATACATGCAAATACGCCTACACACATATAACATATATATTTACCAAATACTTTTTGGTAAATCCACATACATCTGACTAGACTTTAGACATATAGTGATAAGTAAGGTGAGCTAGGTTCCTGCCCTCATGTAGCTCACAGTCTAGTGAGGAAGGCAGACAATAAAACAAACAACTCAGGGACTATCAGTGTAGGTTTGGCGGTGGGGGAATGGGGGTCAGGAGTCAGAAAAGCTTTTAAGAGTTGCTGATCTCCAAGATAAGATCCAGAGAGCCATTTAGGTAAACACTTTGGCTCACATATAGATGTCGTAGAACCCCCCCGCCCCGACCACCACACACAGTCTTTTCACTCATTGATTCCTTCATTCAACAAATATTTATTAAGTGTCTGCTATGAGCATGCATGCCAAGGTCTTAGGGATATCAGGATCACTAAGTCAGGTAGAGTCTTGGAGGAAAACAGTGAGCAAATGATTTGCATCACATAGTGATGTAAATAATCATTGCATCATTGTGTGATGACCTAACGCACTGGGGTATCTGACCTAAATTGAATCTACCAAGACTCAGGACAGGTAGAGACATCCGCCCACCACATGTGGATGAGTCTTCAGGCTCACATATGTCTCCTGCATGCACTTGCAAGCACACAAGTGTTTGTGCACATCTGCCACCCTTAGCTGGCTCCAGAAAGCCAAGAATGGATCTATGACCTACTGCTAATGTTCACATCCAGGACTTCTCTGGACACTCCCCACCTTTCCTTCCTAGGTTGACTCTGAGCCAGAAATGGACACCTACTTCTTGGAAGGTTTATAACCCTTCATCCCTCCCCAAATATTCATGCAGTTTATCTGACCAAAGAGAAAAGGTAGGCGCCCAGTGGGTAGGGACAGGAGCCTCTTAAGCCCAGAAGCTGGAAGAGCAGACCCTCCTTGCCAAGGCACAAAGTGCTGCCATCTAGACTGACCATGGGGACTGGGGATGTTATCAAGGAGTGGGACCTTGGGAGAAGTTATGGGAATGTGGGCAGGGGAGTCTGGTGGCTTCTGAGCACAGGTAGCAGCACGGTCTCTGTGTGTGCGCATGTGTGAGCTCTTGATGTCCCCGCAGGCACCCTCTTTTCCCGCTCCTGACGCTGCTGTTTGAGAAATGTGAACAGGCCACCCAGGGCTCTGAGTGCATCACCTCCGCCAGCTTTGATGTGGACATCGAGAACTTTGTCCACCAGCAGGAGCAGGAGCACAAACCCTTCTTCAGCGATGACCCAGAACTGGACAATCTGGTAAAGACCCTCCACCCTCTACCCTGGCTAGAGTCTTCCTACCCTCTGATCCCCTTCAAAATGCCCTAGAAATGATCCTTCCATTAATTCACCAACAAAAGGTTTTGAGTGTCCACCTTGGGGCATGCACTAGATGCACCAGTCTTGCTGCCAAGAACCATTTTTAAATGCCTTAAACCAAGAGTTCCATGCACAGGCTTTGCTGCCAAAGTTCTGCCCATCTATGCCCAGGGTGGCACTAGCATCTTAGCACCCATCCTTTGACAGTGCAGACAGGAGGAAAGAAGGGTCGTAGCAGCCAGAATATCTGGGGTAGCTGTTCTGAGTCCCGAAATCCTGGCATGTTAGCAAATCTGTCTTGGGCTGTCCAGAGAGGAGCTAATAGTTGATGTGCTACTGTATGGAGGATGAAGGTAACTGATGTTGGAGCACATTAACCGAGAGAAAGACCCGACATCGATGTGCTGAGGAGACCAGTGGAGGACCCGTTCTTTCTGGGGATAGGGTAGATCAGGCTCCCAAACCTAATTTGTCAACTAGATCATGACCACAGTTTTATAAAAATGCATATTTCTAGGCCACACCACCTGGGAATTGTGATTCAGTGGGCTTGGTGGGAGCCTGTGAATCTACATTTTAAAAAGTTTCCTGAGCAGTTGCAATCATCATTAGGTTTGGTGACCACTGGGTCGGATGACATCTGAATTCTCATCTAGTCCAGGGAATTCTGTGGAGAGAGCGACAGAGAGGTTGCCCTGTTTGTCCATTACTCTAACTAGTCATCTTGGAATTATTAACCACAATTCTTTGTTTTTTGTGGGTGGATTACCCAGATTATGCACAGTGAATTTGGAAACTCTGGAAAACTCTCCCCAACAAATTGATTAATGATGGTGCTGTCTTCTTGCATTTAGAGTTTAACTGGTACCTACTTTCAAAAGGGAAATAGAATTAGTAAAGAAAATGTGGTTCCAGAAAGGAAGAACACACACACACACACACACACACACACACACACAGACACACTGCATCTGCAGAACAGGTATAACTGGCTTTGGTATTCTGTGCTGTGAATTATCCACACCACTGCTTCTCTCAAGAGCTGAATATGTGACTGGATAGAGTCCAGAAGAGCTGCCAGGAGAGCCCACCCTGGCCTGAAGCTTCGTGAAGTGTCACGATGGGTGGAATATTTGAAGAGCGGAGGAGGCCTTGCCAGAGGATAAGCGCTCGCTTGTTGTCAGGAGGGTCAGTGAAGGCATCTGAGAGCCCCGAAGTCACCTTTTCTCATCCTGGGGCATCCCTTTCCCTGGCTGGGATTGGTGGTCCCCTTCCCAGGAGGCAGGTCACTGTGTCTCAGGTCCCCTGGGAAAGCTGCCCTGTGCAGGTGCTCCAGTTGCAGGCTGGTCTTGCTCTGCCCTGTGCTCTGACTAATCAGAACCACAGACTGCAGTTGCGGAGCAGATCCTCACAACCTAGACCCATGGTAGCCAGGGGGCCAGGAGATGCCGCAGCCATTTCTGTGGGAGCTGGGATGGACCTGGGAAGCAGGGCCCACTCCCCTCATTTGGCACATTAAGAAACTGAGTCCTAAGTAGGTAAGGAAATACTGAAAAGTAAACTGGGTAGCTAATGTGAAATAACTTATACCTTCTTAAGAGGGAGGAGTCCTGGGGGAACACATTTCTCATGCCCTGCCCACCACCACCTGCCAGGTGAGCTCTGGAAGACCCACCAAGGGCAGCCTCCCATCCTAGCTCAGCCTGGAAAACGCCCAGGTGGCCATCTCCATGCTCTCTCCTGGCCAACATGACGTGGGTTCCCCAGAGTTGTGTTCACTCAAAGAATCATATTTAGAATCAATTGAACAGAACTTGGTTGAGTGTCTGCCATGTGCCAGGCCTGACCCAGGGACGTGGATGCTGTGGAAGCTGCCCTGGTGGCCCCATACTAACAGCGTTCCCAGGTCTTCCATCTCAGGCACTGGGCTGGGAGTGTCCAGCCAGTGAAGCAATGCTTGGACATTCCATCTACTTGGGTGCACCTGATTTACCTAGTTGAGTTAGCCATGGCAAATGACTGATTGATTGACTGACTGATTATGTAAATGGAGAGATTTGAAAGAGCACTCTCTGAGCCTCACCACTACTATCTGTGTGATTTGGATGACTTAACTCCTTTGAAGCTCGGTTTCCTCATCTGTAGATCTAACACACCTATCTCGTGTAATGGTAATACAAAATTAATGAGATGGCTCTGGGAAATGGCCTTTAAAAATGCCTGGCATCTGGAAGGTTAGTCTCAAGTGCAGGGCCCCTCCGACAAGGTGCTCCAGTTCCTCAACCTCACATCCTGGCCAGCAAAGAGACCATGTGGCCGGGACCCTGAAATGTGATGTGGGGAGTCAAGCAGTGCCCCTTGCCACCCCCACCCCTGGTCCTGTGTCAGGAAGGGGGAGATAAAGAGGCCAACGGCACGAGCCATCATTAGAACAAGAATCATGTAGCCAGCACAGCCGAGATGCACATAATTAGAAATTAGAAAAAGGTCAGATCGCGTCATTATCAGCTCAATCAGCTGCCGAGTGCCACAGCCAGTTAATTTGGCATCTGTATTTTTTACAACCCCGCACACGTAGCCCAACGGACTGTAACTCTTTATCCGGACAGATATACTGCGCAGCCGAGCAGGGACATAAAATGAGAGACCCCAAGCAAATGAGCTGAGATAATTGAGAGATTTATTTTTTATATATATGTGTGTCAGAGCGGCTTTCCTTTGCCCTTGAATGTTGACTTTCACGGGGATTGTCAGGGCACTTGGGTCCTCAAAAACTTTGTCCCTTGGAAGTTCTTCTCTCCCCCAGGGTCCTCAAGCCCCACTCGGGCCCTGCTTTCTCTCAGGCCCTGTAAGCCTGTGGTCTCCAGCCCCACCAAGCCCCCCATTTGAACTCAAATCCTCCCCATCCCCAGCTGGCCACCTCCCTGTCTCCCGGGCAAGTTGTCCTGTACCACACTCCCTTATGTCCCACAGTCACCCAGGGCTGCCCTGAAGATCAGAGAGGTTCTCAGATTGTGGATTCCGCAGGAACCTCCCTCCCTGCATTAGCCACCTGCTCCCACAGCACCCCTACCAGAGAAGAAACAGATTCGTGAATCATTAGAGGGAAAAGCCCTAGAGAGGGCCGGGCACAGTGGCTCACCCCTGTAATCCAGCACTTTGGGAGGCCGAGGCAGGCAGATCACATGAGGCTAGGAGTTCGAGACCAGCCTGGCCAACGCGGTGACACCTCGTCTCTACTAAAGATACAAAAATCAGCCAGGTATGGTGGTACATGTCTGTAGTCACAGCTCCTCGGGAGGCTGAGGTATGAGAATTGCTTAAGCCCAGGAGGCAGAGGTTGCAGTGAACCGAGATAATGACACTGCACTCCAGCCTGGGCAACAAAGTGAGACCATCTCAAAAACAAACCAACAAACAAAAAGCCCTAGGGAGAAGCACGTCCTACCTCCTTTTATAGCCTGGGATGTAAGTTCACAGAAGGAAGTGACTTGCCAGGACCAGAACCCAGGTCAGCTGACTCCTGATGCTCCGCTCTGCCCACATCACACCACCACTCCTTCATTTGCAAATAAAAGTGCCCCTGATCTCTCTTTCCCTGCACCCATACTGTAAGTCCCCATTTCCAGAGGACGAGGTGGCTTTCCACCCTCATGGTGGTCAAGCTGCAGTGCCCCTGACTGGCTCCCCTGGGAAAGACCGACTCCATCCTTCACTCCCTCCACTCCAATTCCCACAGTCACAGGGGCTCACCAGGCCATTTCCTTAGCTGGGCCCACAGATCCCCTCCTTAGGCCCACCAGCCCCTGACTGGCAGTTGGTAAAGTTTGTAAAATTTGCAAGTTCCCCAAAACCCTTTGAAAGGTAAAAGCTTTTTGTTTTATAAAATCTGATTTACGGGCCCCCGGTGCAGGGCTAAGGTTTTATATATTATGCAAGATTTCAAACCGTGGCTGTAAAAAGTACGGTTTCAGTTTCATGCATGGAATTTTTTTATGTGTAAATTTTTTAACATTTATGGGGCACGTTTTAATGAGACTCTGGTGTGGCTCGAGGGACAGATTACGGCTGCCTGACCGCAAAGCCAGCTCTAAAATGGGGCCCCCCAGGCCCCTGGGCCCACTCTGAAGAGGCAGAGCCAGAGGCCGGAGGCTGTGGATAAGGAGGCACGTGAAGGAATCAGGCCAGAGCTCTGGGCCCAGAGGCCTCAGGCCAGCAGCATTCAGAGACTCAGCCACTTTGGCCTTCAGTCCAGGCTGTCTTTGCCTAGACAGGAGCAGAAAATCCCACAGACACCAGGAAAGGGAAAGGAAATGGGAATCATCAATGCTAGTAATAATGAACATTTATAGAGCACTTACCAGCTGCCAGGTACCGTTCCAACTATTTTACATGTATTATCTTATTTAATCCTCTTTCTAAACCCACAAGGCACATGTTACTATTATCCCCATTTTAAGAGGAGGCAACTGGGACACGAGATGCAGTCACCACCATGCAGCTGGTCCATGGCCCAGGCTGGAATCAAATACAGTGCAAGACTCGTGCTCCATGACCACACCCAAAGCAGCACTGGAGCTAATATCTTCTTGTCTTTCTCTGGGCCAGGTCTTGTTTTACATTTTCTTCTAGCCACATCTCATTTAACCCACAGTGTAACTCGGAGGAGTCACTATTATTATCTTATTTTCCAGGTGAGGAAAGTAAAGTTTAGAGATTATGTCAATTGTTCAAGGTCTCACCATAGGTGGAAGACCCAAGACACCCAAGACCTGAAGCCCTGAGTGTCTTCTTTGCTGTTTAATTCTCACAAGAGCCCTGTGAAGTAGTTGTTATTATCCCCATTTGACAGAGGAAGCAATCAAGGACTGAGAACCCTGTAGCCAAGAAATTACATAGCTGGGATTTGAACCCAGTGGACCTAACTCCCGAAGCCCACC